TAATACGACCAAATATTACAAATACAACCTTTAGTACGAATGAAAAACTGAAAACAGTAATTTCTTACCCACGGGTGAAAGTCTAGTATTGTCTTATAACATAAGTCTTATATAATATCAACACTGTAGATTTTAGTTTTTTTTTTTTTTACAACGAACGGTTGATCTATTACTCAAGCTTGAGGTAGTCTGAGAATCCAGACCGGAATAGAACAACCAACATACACCAACTCAGTCTTGTTCCCGGTACTTGTCGTAACAGTTTGAAATATTTAAGAGGAGAAAGTATAGTCATAAATTAGAAGAGATAAATTGTTGACATATATTTTAGCTAACTCTAGGATTTTAACGAACATGGCAATCACTCAGAGACTCACGATAGATCATGAAGATCAAGAGTGAATTATCGAGGTGTTGAACGATATTCCTAGGGTTTCAAAAGCATCTCACCTTTTGTTCAACTGAAAATTCCATGTAAGTTCAGCCAACATTGCAAATTTAGCCTTATCACGTACCCCTTTCCTTCATTAACCTATTAGTCTTTCTCTCTTCACTTTCATTAACCTATTAGTCTTGAAACATTTACATGGTGAACCTCCAACTCCTATTCAAGCTCTATACAAATTCACTGAAAACAAAATATCAAAAACATCTTACTCTTCTATAACTCGCGGGCTACCAGGAAAATGGGAAGCTCCTCCAGTTTGGGTTTGGAATTAATTTATAATTATATGACTTTTTAGCAAAAACAAAAATTTTAGCACATAGTTGGCAAAAATTGGCACTTTAAACCTTGAGGCTCAACGGCTAACACTTTAAACAATGAAACTTGTAACAATAACATATTAAACATCGAACTAATTTACTTGTTGCACACGTCAAAATTGTGACATGTTACTGTTCACTAGCAGGTAAAAACCGGTGACGTGGCGGTTTACCTAAAAAATAAAAATAAAAACAAATAAAATTAGATAAAAAATCAATATAAATTCCAAAATTTGATATAAATTCAGGAAAAAATAAAGAAAATACATAAAATTCAAAAAATTTAAAATTTTAAACATAAAATAAATTTATAAATTTAAAAGTTTATAATAAAAAATAGTAAAAACCGATTAAAACTAACAAAATAGTAAAAAAAAAATTAAAAAGTGTAAAAATCGATAAAAATAGAAAATAGGAAGTTATAAAAAGCTGGAAAACAAATAAAATTCAAATATCAAAATATCAAAATTGAAAATGAAAAGTACTTGACCCAAACCTCTTTGGTGTTTAGGTAGACATATAAGCGTTCAGATGTCTAGGTTCAGATCATTCAGATCCTAGAGATTGGGATTCAAAACTTTTGTCAATTCATGGGTTTTTGCCAATTTTCCACTTTCATGGTTTTCTTTTTTTCCAGATTTTTTTTCTTAATTTTTAATCAATTTGTAGAATTTATTTTTGTTATTATTATTATTTTCTTGAATTAATAAATTTATTTTTTTCTTGATCTTTATTAGTTTTCAATTTAAGTATTTTAATTTTTTGAATTTTTGAATTTTATTTTCCCTGATTTTATAAAATTTTCTTAATTTTTATCGATCTTTTTGAATTTTTTTATTTTTATTTTATTTTTGAAGTTTTATTTTTTTCCAAATTTTTATAAATCTCCTCTTTTTTAATTTTTCTCGATTTTTACACTTTTTAATGTCTATTTTTTATTATTTTTACTCTTTTGTTAGTTTTAAACAATTTTTACTATTTATTTTTATTTTAAACTTTTGAATTTATAAATTTATTTTTATTTTCTTAATTGCTGAATTTATTTATTTTCTTTTTATTTCCTGAATTTATATCAATTTTTTAGTTTTATTTATTTTTTATCTAATTTTATTTGTTTTTATTATTTTTTACCCGCTAGTGAACAGTAACAAGTCACAATATTGACGTGTGCAACAAGTAAGTTAGTTCGATGTTTAATATGTTATTGTTACAAGTTTCGTTGTTTAAAGTGTTAGCAGTTGAGCCTCAAAGTTTAAAATGCAAACTTTTGCCAACTTCATGATTTTTTATGCAATTTTCCCAATTAAAATCTAGTTATAAACAATGGTGTCAATTATTATTATTATTATTATTATTATTATTATTATTATTATTATTATTATTATTATTATTATTATTATTATTATTATTATTCACAACTACAGTGAAATTCGTTGCTCTGCTGTGGCCGCATTTCCTCACGTCTTTTCTCCGCCACGCAGCACATCCTTTCTCTGCCACCAGTGTGTCTCCTTGTTCGTCTCCGCCACACCAGCTTTATCTGCCTCACTTCCGCCTACCTACTTGCACGACGACTGCTGCAACTCCTTGAACCGCAACTCCTCCCACCACTCTGCCTCTGCCGCTCCTTCCACCACAGTTACCGGTCACCCTACACCTGCCCGAAATATTTTCAAGTTCTTCTTTACTTTTGTTAACCCTATCTGTATGGTAGATAAACTAGAAAGAGAGTTTGTATGTCATAAATGTTGAAATAAATTTTGAAAAATTGTAAAAGTTTGTTTCTTTTGTTTTCTAGTGTGGCTGTTAATAGTGATTTAATTTGTGATTTTCATAATGTTGGATTATAATCACTCATTATGTCGAAAATTCTTATAAATCTCTTCAGTATTCGTATTGATTACATAAGTCAAACTTATACAAATCTTATACAAATCTTATACATATGCTCTGATTTATATGACGATAACATCATAACACAAGTGTTCCTATTTTGTTTTTTTTTTCTTTCGGCGATACTCTCACGCGCCATTTTTATGATGTTTTATTCAACTATAAATGGGAACTAGATTTTGACCTGCGCTTTCAAAGCGTAAGATAAATGTGATTATGTTTTGGTTTAAAAATTATCATATTTTCCATTTTAATATTTTAATATTAAAGTCTATAATTAAAAATAATTTATCTTGATGTCTCATATAAGTTTGTTATCCCAATGTTTTAATATCTATATTATTAATTATTATCTTTAGAACCCTTAGAATATTACTTTTTGACCATTTTGTTTTCAAAATATTTTCATAATTTTGAAAAAATAAGATTTTCATCATTTGCAAATATTTTCCATAGTAATTATTTAAAATAATATTCTTTCATCACCTACCGTAACATACACTTCATGTCATTCTAATAAACATTTTGATTATATACTTTTATTTTTCAAAGTTATTAATATACCTCAGTATAATCTATTTATTTTCTTCAAAATTATCTAAAATCTATTAACTTGCAATATTTTGATGATACTCAACAATTTTGTAACCATATTTTTTGAAATATATATTTCCAGGCAAGTGAGATTTATACACTCCTAATATGTTATATAGAAAAATATCAAACAGAAAAAAATATTTATGAACAAAACAACCATACATGTATTTTTAAAAACTATTTGAATATTTTGGTAACAATATTTTTGTAAATAATAAAAAATGGTAACTAAAATTTTTCTCGTTTTTTCTTTGTCATTAAGACTGAAAATAATTTGATATTTTTTACAATTGTTATAAAATTTTACTATTTATATGGTAATTTTTTGTTTTTCTTTTAAAAATCTTTCAAATATTGTTTTATTCATATCACTTTAGCTTCCATGATTTAACTTACAGCAATTATAATTCTAATGATTATCTTTGTGCAATTCTAAAAAACTGTAACCTAAAATATATGCTTATTATAATTTTATGGATTTTCTAAAATAAATTTTAATTTATGGATTCTTTTAACTAAAAAATGAAAACCCTAACTAAACTCGAGGAGAAAGACGTCGCCAATCTACTGCATCCGTGATCCCAAAGTCACCACTATCGAGCCGTTTCCATCGGTTTCCCTCAAGATTTCTCCAACCTCCAAAAGTTACTTCGGCGCAACTAATGACTGATCCACCGTCGATCGACAACACCGAGTCTTACTGAATGTCGAGCAAACGATCTACACCAACCGTCTATGACTTATTGGTCCAAGATATCCGTGCTAGACACACTGTCTCATGAGCTTCCTTGCTGTCCTTTAATGAAGTCCATGCTTGAGAGGAGTAAAGGATCTCGCTGCCGGGAAAAGCCCACCTACCGCCTTGAGTATCTCTAATCTAGCACACCTCATTATGGGAGAAGGGAGAGACAAAGCAAAGCAACAACTTGTTACGTAGAGAGAATGGAGAGATGAGAGTTTTATCTGTATTGTGATAAGTATACATTGTTAGTTAGGGATTATTAATTTCTTTTATCAAGGAAAAGGTAAAGCATAGCACATTATTTGGTATTGGTAGAAAAAATTCTCTTTGTCAATTTAAATAAATAATATAGAAATTAAAATTAAAAAGAATGACATGCCATTATAAATAATTTAAAAATAAAATGCAGAATTCTAGTAGGAATTCTACTTTAATAGTATAGATATTAGTGAACTGAAAACGCTCTTTTATCTAATGTATTAATATCATTGCACATTAGTAAAGGAAAATCCGGTAATTTTGCTTTTTCATTTATTTATATAACTAATTTATATTTTTTTGCATGAAATCCTAATTATCTTTTTATCGGTGTATTTCCACCAAAATCGCCCTTATTAGAGTAAGGATAAGTTGATTTTTACAAATCAGGATATATACACAAATGCAGCTTGGCCAAGAAAAAATAATTTACACAAATGTAGAAATTACAACTTTCTCAATTAGTTAATTTACAAAAATCTGGGCTTATACTCTGACAAGCAAAGCAATACATTTATTTTTGTTGCTGCGAATACTTATAAGATTTTGTTTAAGGTGAACGCTTTTTTGTTGTGTGAGGAGGGGAGGGGGGGGGATTGGGATCGGCTCATCACATATTTCATTGACATTTTTGATTTTCTTTCTCAACCAAAAATTAAAATTAAATTCCATTTCTCCAAGGCATCTTAGAAATTACAAAACTATACATTATAAACTAACAACTAATCAATTAACTAACAATTAATCAATTAGGACCCCAACAACTCAAATACATAACCGTTCTGAGCGATTCTTCACACTTCTTCGCCTTTTGACTCTCATCAGACGAGTTAACTGCGGCGGCAACAGAAGAGGAGAACCTTTTCCCCTGAGCAACAGTTCGGACATTGTTCCGGAGGTGCTGATTCACCGACCGGAACATGTAGTTCCACCGACAAAGACCCAACTGGTCTTTCAACGTCTCTACGACACCGATGCTAACTGCCACCGTCCACGCTTTGCTTGTAGAACTCATCTCTTCTTCACTTTCACTTAACGATCTTCTTTTGGATTTTTGAATATAGTGTTTTAGTATTTCGATGGTTTTAGAGAAGGGAAATTGAGTGATATATATAAAATGAAGAAGCCAACAATAATTGCCGTTAGGTTGGAGTGAAACCACAATATGTTGGCTGCTGGTTTTCTAAGTTACCACCGTCTGGATCGTTATATGACGATTTTATCCTCATGAAGAACAATAGATAAGGGGTAATATTGATCTTTTGTTAGATCGTGGTTTGAAGAGTGTGCACCTGGTTTCAGGATTATTTGGGTTTCGTGTTCCTTCCTAAGTTACGTGATTTTAAACAACTGTGAATAAGTCAAAAACATAATTAAGTGATAAAGAATGAGTTACTTTGGTAGATAACCAAATGCATGGCCAAAATCGGCCACACACAAGGTGGTACTATTTAGTGTATTGTTGCTATTGTAAACTAGAAGAGTTTGCTACTTCTGGAAACTTTTTTTTACATCAAAATTAACAATAAAAATATGCCATTTAAATTTATTTTAGTTGTTGGGGGAGTTGTAATTTATAGTTGTTGTACACCGTATATTTTTAGTTCTGCCATGTAAATTGGTTTTTCATACTTTTAAATTTTGCTTTTGCTACTAGCGTATTTAAATATAAAATAACAAATAATTTTATTTTCCATAAAAGCATCAGTGCCTAGGTATGACACTCGAAGGGATTTAAAATTTGTGTTGAGATATAGAGTTTGGAAAATATATTTTATTTGAGGTTTAAATTTAAAATTGAAATTCACTTTTGAAAGATATTAAATTTTGCTTTTATGTTTTTGATTTTTACGTAAATATAAAGGTTAGAGTTTAAAGGGTTTTTTTTGACATCAACTTATAGATTCATATTGACTCTGCAAACCAAATTGGTAGCTCTGTATCCATATGAACAACGAAAGACGATTGTATTCTGGCACTGCGTGCTAGACTATCCTCCTGTGAGTTCAATGTTCTTGCTACATAGATTACTGCCGAGTTAGTGAAACTCCCTTGAAGCGTCTTGATATCTTGTAGATAATTTGCAAATGCTGGCCATTCTTCTGGTTCCGAAACCATCTTCACTAATTGAATACAATCTGTTGCAAAAGTAACATGATATTGACGTAAATTCCTCATACTCTCCATTGCCCAAATTAATGCTTCCACTTCAGAGTGAAGGAGTGATAGACTGGCTCTAACATTTCTTGCTCCCATTAAACCCACAAAACCTTCGAGTGTGCTATACCAACCTTGACCATCAAACACATCCTTGATCTCTTTCCATGAACCATCAACAAAACACCAGCGCCCTGGTATGACCGGTAAAGTCATGGTTACCCCTTGCTGTATTTCATTTGGAGAAGCTTTTGCTTGCGCCTCCTTCCAAAGAGTTGATTCTGTCTCTACCAATGTAAGTGTATCCTTCGGTTCAACGTCCAAATTGCTAAAGATTTTGCTATTACGCGCTTTCCAAATATACCACAATATCCATGCGAAATGATGATCTTCCATCTTTGGTGTAACACGCCAAAACAAATGATCCATATTCGTAAAAAGAGAAGCCGTTGGAAAAATGGTCGGGTTGGAAGGGATCTTTGACAATGCCCAAACTTGGCGCGCTGGAGGGCATTCAAAAAACACATGTTTTATCGTTTCTTCTGCCGCTCCACATCTGTCACAACATATGTCACCATTTATCCCTCTTGCCTGCAAGTTTTTCCGAACGGCTATGCAACCCGATAATAATTTCCATAGAAAATGTTTCATCTTAGGAGGACACCGTATTTTCCAGCAAAATGCTTTCAGTACATCCACCGTGGGTCCTTGAATCTCAATCGGTCGTCTTGTATCCGGATACACCCGTTCAACATGGTATCCTGACTTAACGGTGTATTTCCCATTCTTGGTGAAGTGCCATTCATCCCTATCTTCCAATTGAGTCCTACTAAGCGGTATACTTTCTATTATTTTCGCATCCTGGGGATCAACTAGAGCCCGGATAGCCGTCATATTCCAACTTTGCGTATCTGCATTGATGAGAGAATCCACTGTGAGTTCCAGGGAGAAGTTATGTTGATTTTTATTTGTTAGTCTCGGGCGAGTGGTTGGGAGCCATGGATCATTCCATACAGAGATAGATGATTCTGATCCCACCCGTTTAATAAGTTCTTTGCTAACCAGAGATCTAGCGGAGAACATACTTCTCCATTCAAAGGTTTACTAGGTAATGATCTGCGGAATGAACTACTTAAACAATATATAAGATTGTAATTATGAAAAAATAAAATTTTGTTTATCATTATAGATTTTTCGGTTATCATCCGTGTTTGATATTTATCGAAGAACTAAAAATTAAATTACATGTATTTTAAACTAAAACATGTATTATCCATGTTACAAAAAAAAACCATGTAATATTTGTATGGTTAGAAAGATAAATTGTTTTGGTCTGAAGTAATGGAACATCCGTATCAGTTATGATCGGTCAAACCATATGTCCTGAATGAAGACACCAAACCACAAAATGAAAAGTATTACGGATGGTCCATTACTTCAGACCAAAACAATTTATCTTTCTAACCATATAAATATTACATGGCCTTTTTGTAACATGGATAATACATGTTTTAGTTTAAAATACATGTAATTTAATTTTTAGTTCTTCGATAAAATATCAAACACGGATGATAACCGAAAAATCTATAATGATAAACAAAATTTTCTTTTGATAAAGGAGGTTCGGCGAAGAGGATTACGGTGAAAAACACATGTCGTATCTGTGAAGACATGCGTGATGAATGTGTGCAACTGGAATTAAAATGGAAGCGTGTTTAGATGGGACATAGCATACAAGGGGGCGACAAAATTTGGAACCCCATGTAGGAGAGAAGAACCCTAGTCTAAATGATACTGGATGGAGAATATATTATACTATACTATAATATACATGATATAGTCTATAACTGAATGCAAAAAGAAGAGAAAATCATGGAAATAGAAGATTGTAAACGATGGAAAATGAACATAAGCATTTCTAGCAAATAAAGAGAATATATGAAAACAGACAGTTATGATATACAGAGAAAGCAATTAATGAAATTTTTTGGCTTCCCTTTAACATAATTTGTCTGAACTGCGACTCTGCAAGCTTCTCCTTCGACGCATCAGACAGTGCCTTTTTTATCGCCTCCACCCATTTCAAATTGAGGTAGTTGTTAATGCTTTTTTGACCGGTTCGTTCACACCCCATCTCAAACAATCTCTCCAGTAAGCCAAACTTCTCCATAATCTACAAGGATAGAAAAACATTAACTCACTGACTGTAATGGATACAAAAAGATATAACTTTCTCAGTAGTTCCACTTGCAAAACCGTTTTCACAGCTATAGACATCTATACATGGTAATAAGTGAAGCCTATACTATTTTCCCCCATGGTTTAGTCTGCGTTGCTGACATAAATTTGCCAAAATTTATGGACAAAATTAAACATCTTTACATTGTACCACATAACTACTATACTCAATTTCCAATAGAATGGTTTATGTATGGTCATTAAGAACCCGTTTTCAAACTTACAACTTTCTACGCTTGCACGTTTATTTCTTGAAACAATTACGCTAAGTTACCCAATTTAACTGTGGTAACCACATTCCTTTCCTGTACTATTAACATGTTAATAATAATGAAAACCAATCAACAATTAGTTAATTTACACAAATCTAGGCTTATACTCTGACAAGCAATACATTTATTTTTTGTTGTTACGAATGCTTGAAAGCTTTTATTTAAGCTGAGCCATTTTTTTGTTGTTGCTTTTTGTTTCGGGGGATTGGGATGCTCATCACATATTTCGGTGACATTATTTTTTTCTTTCCCAACCAAAAATTAAAGAGAATTATGCTAAAACGGATTAGAAAAATAACTTTATTGTCTTCTTATGTCATTTCTAACTCAACTCCATATTTTATTCTAAAATGAAATAAAATAAAATATAAAGCAGAAAACACTCTAACTATACTCTATTTTCTATTTTATAATAGAGTTTACTTCATAAATGAAGTAATCTGTTTTTATTTGTTCACCACTTTATTATGGAGTAAGAAATAAAGTAAAATTTGAACATTTTTACTCTATATTCTCTTTTACTCCATTTTGGTGAAAATATAGAGTTTTACAATGAAAATGTTCTTATTATAAATATTTTCTATCCATTTTTCTTCTTTTTAACTTTTCTATTCTAAAACTTAATAAAATAAATAGTTTTATGAATAAAAAATATTAAGAAATAGACACAAGTGATGAAATGTCTACATACAAATATTATTTTTATATTTTGAAAAACTTGTTAAACTAAAATTTATAATTATGTTCTATGAAAAGTAAATTTTATATTCTACGAGAAATGACATAGTAGAACTCACTTTCCACGTTAAACAAGTAACACTATTTTTTTTTTAAATAGAAAATTTACATTTGTAAAGAATTCTACATTTGTAAAGAATTCTACATATGAAAAAATTGTGACGTCTACTTAATGTAAATGATTCTATAAAATAACTTAATGCAAATTCTACGTTTTAAACCTATTCGAAAACTCTCAAAATACATAATATAGACATAACTCAGAAGTTTACGTATAGTAGAATTTGCTTGAAGGAAAATGTTCTTGTTTCTATGTTGTGTTACTTGTGTAGAAAGTGCATTCTAGGGATAAAATAAACAAAAATTCTGAAAATTTTGGAAAATAATTATGAAAATTTTCTAAAAAGATTTGTAATCTTTGTAGTTACCATAACAGTTAGGGAACAATTTCCCTTGTCAAAAAACCCAAAACAATATCGACTAAAAGTTGGTTTCTTCATCAAACCTAGATTTCTCCATTAGTTTTCTTCTGATTTTACCAAACATTTCTTGTATGGTGTATGTCTATACGGCTTGTGGTGTATGGGAATTAAGTACAACAACGGAAAGT